ACCTCGGATAAGCGGGAGAAAATGGATGGATGGATGGATGTTCATATTATGTTTTTTGGTATTATTTAGTGGGGTCCAGGTCTTTTCACAATTTAACTTTGAATTTCAATCTGAAGACTACTTCAGGTACAGCTAACAGTGTTCAGAGAGCTGTAAGATGAGAAATGTATGCTTTACATGTAGTTCTGAATACAGGGATACTGTATTCTGGTTTGTTGTCTAGGTAACATGAAGTACCATCTATGAAGAAGAACCAGGGCATGTACCTTATAATTAGCTACATTCTATGTTGTGTTGTCTTCCTGTTTTCCATGTGATAGCATTATGCTTGCCGTCAAACCATCATGAACCTCAGATATGCATTACAGCCCCCGTACAGCCCCTGTACTCATAACAAAATGCATTTACTAGACAAAGATGATGTGTCACATTGTACTTTATGTCTTGGTGGTTAAATGCAGTACTGCTCATGTAATCTAGACACGAATATGTCATACTTACATAAAGAAGCATAATTATCATGAATTGATTTTTGCTGCACTGATAGTAGAAGCATGATTAAAGACTGATATTTTACATGCACAGAAGAATCACATGCAGATAAATCAGTCGCCTTGGTATCGTCACCAGGAAATATTGACAGGGAGTATTGGTGCTTCGCAGCTTGGTCATGAAGCATATGGTCTATAGCAGGGTTTCTCAACCCGGTCCTCGGGGACCACCAGACGGTCCACATTTTTGCTCTCTCCCAATTCCCTGCCAATTGGGAGAGAGCAAAAACGTGGACCGTCTGGTGGTCCCCGAGGACTGGGTTGAGAAACCTTGGTCTATAGAACAGCATTACTTTGATCGTCCAGCACTTTTCAAGGACATAATGTCATACCAAGTATCCGGTGTATTTCTCTAGCAAGTAGGGCTTGATGAAGGCTGGCAGTCTGACAGAAACACAGTACTGAAGTTGCATCGCCATGCATTCATGATCTGTAGCAAGAACAACAAAACAAAATTCATCAGACTCAAACATGACACCAGATCATATTAGTTTTGGTAAGCTGTTCCTTGTTGTCTGAATTGTGAGGTGCATGTTGAGTAAGTTACATTGAAGATTTACCTGCTTTTCTGAATTGATCATGAAATTTAAAACAGAAAATTGCAAGAAAAGGGTCAGTGCTCCTGGTCACCCCCTCTATCCCACACACAAGAGAATTTTAAAGAAGTCTAAGTTAATTACAGCTGAGTAGAGCTGTTGCACCAGCTCTGAGTCACAAGACACTTCTTATTGTATGTGTACCTCTGTATACTACAATGGCAATAAAGGTGAATTGTCCCAAAGCACACCCCTCCTCCAAAAAATCTGTGCCCTTCCTCATCTGACCGAATGATTTTCTTAACATTTGAGCACGAGAAACAGGAAGAACATAAACAAAAAAGGAACACTTTCTCAATGAATCTCAGTCTAAGGATCAATAGATATGAGGCATCAAATGACTTGAACTGAATGCAGAGGAATGGGATCCATTACACAAATTTAATCAATGACAATCTCATGCAGTCATTATTGGTTCCTTGAAACCGCCATTGTTTCCCTGGGGTTCCATTCACCCAGCTCACTTCTATGGATATTCCAAGAAAATGCTCCTGAAATTCACTACGCTCAAAGAAATCTGGAGCATTGCAAAGTGGGGATGTACTGCGGAGGTGTACTGCATTTCTGGTAAGTGTTTGGGATACTAAATTTAGCAGCAAAATTTTGGTGACATATTTCAAGAGCAAATTTCCAAAACTCACTCGGTCCATATTTTGTGGTTTTTGAAATAAGACCGCCAATGACCTTTAAATGATTTGCACATCATGTGACAATATTTTAAACTAAAACTCATTCAGTTATCATGTAATCCAAAGATGAGCTTTTTGTTAAATTTCCTAAACTCATTAAGCCCACAGAAATGTTCACGAAAAACACATCCCATTGTCTGAATGATTTTTGGAAATTTGTTCTTCATTTGATAACATTATTGTACAGCAACAGTATTACGATACCTGTCTTACCTGGCATTCGTCAAGCTGTTACATCATAGTAGGATGAGACAAGCTTTCTTAATTACTACATCTGGGTAGTTCATGACAAATACCAGATCATATTAAAGGCATGTAGAACAAAGGGTGAGCAGCCGAGATGAATAAATGACAGAAAGGCAGATACTGGGAGAGTCTGAATCTGGGTGTAGGATAGAATGCCTAGGTAGGGCATAGTTACTGGGGCTGAAAAGCAAAACAGCAGAAAAAGAGAGAAAAGAGAAGAGGGACTTTTCTTGGTCAGTGTAGATGAATATGGTCTTTGTGAATGCGGCATATGGCCTGATTGCATAGACCAGGCGGAGAGAGGAGAGAGGAGCTGGACAGACGGACAAACAGCCTCTGTCTTTGTGAGATGCATTCCTGATGTATGATCCTATCTCCGAGTAAAATGCTGGACGCTGAGACATGGGACCATGGTTCACTCATGTATGGGTCGCCGTGTGTTCTGTGACATACTGATTAGGCATAATTTGTCAAAAAAGTGGCTGGTGGTGAAATCTAACAAATACATGGAATGGCTGGAGTGTCCCGTGGACTGTGTGTGGAGACTGAGGCCGTGTTCAACTAGCCATCCCACTGCTTAGAGAACCGTAAAAGTTATTGCTGATTTTTTTTTTACATTTGTATATGTGCTAACATTAAATAATGTTTTTTTTTTGTTCCTTTTTAAATAAATAGACACTTACTACTCCAATAAATATTTTAAAATGAAAATTTCCTTGGTGCGAAACATTGTTGTTAGGGGTATTTATAGATTTTTCATTCCTAATAATGGACCATCGAAAAAAAAAAATGTTTCCAATATGCAAAGCAAGCAGAATGAAAATGGCTCAATGAAATAATGCGCTGCATTGAGTAAGTTACAATATGCACATGATATTGGTATGGCTCAAAAAAGGTTGGAATGATTAGTTTTTAGTTCATTATTGGTGTGCTGGCCTTGTCTAGTTTTTAAATTCATTAGATATGTGAGTAATGAGAGATATTACTATATTATCTATTATAATCTTCCTGCTGTATCTATTATCTATTATATATTATCCCACTCCAAACTTATTGATGGCCAAATTTAAACTTGTTCACACAGAAAATGCTTTCAATGCTTGCCAGCTTTGGCACAATGTATCTCTTTGTCTAACAGGCAGTATAACAACTTCAGTATAACTTGGAGGGTGTCACACGCCACTTGTGTTCCTCATTTTGTCACTGTTGTTTTGAAAAATGTTTCTGGGAAAGAGTCACTCTAGGAAACACTGCTGTGGTTGAAACGGGGAATTCATGGGAGTTGAACTAGATGTCGGGGAGTCCCGCTAGCAAAAAAATACAAATATAATACTGAAAAGATCTGCTGAAGTCTTACACTCATTGTGACAAAGGTGCCCATTGTCATATTCAGATGTAGTAAGATACTAAGGTAGAAACTAAGCCTAAACTGACTCAATATAGCACACAGCAGTGTCACCAACCTGACTAATAAATCACATAAATTACCCATTCAAAGAGTATGGAAAGGCATAGAATGTTCACCAAATATAAAGTGCCGATTTTGAAATTTGACAAATTTAGCCAAGAAAATGATGGATATGAAATAGCTTAGTCACCATGGTCATGGGTAACATACAGATTACTTGATTTGGCTGGAGGAATGAGGGCTGGACTAAGTCAATAATGTAATCCAATGACACCGGCAGCCAAAGTATGTTGCCAGCTACAGCATTCCCAGAGCTTTCCTGTCTCTGTTTAGTTTGGATCCCTCAGTGGATCTCTCTCTCTCTCTCTCTCTCTCGCTCACACGCACACACACACACACACACACACACACACACACACACACACACACACACACACGAGCATGGCTGAGGCTACAATTAAATTCTCACTCCATGCCTTTCATCCAAAGACAGTTTACCTCATGTGTTAGAAATGCAGCATGTCCCTTGCAAATAGTGTGGAGTTGTTTCATTCTCTGCAGGAACATGTATCTAATTCTTAGTTTTTTTTACAGACCAGTACTGCAAAATAAATATTCCTTAGATACATTGAAGGAACACTTTCAACATCAGTCCATTCTTTTATGATGACTAAGTGTTACATAATGTACTTTTAACAATCAACGTCATTACATTGTACAAGACCAACGGTAATGCTAACCTGAATGAAGAATAATGTAATCCTCATTCATATATATCAGTAATTCATGGCAACAATAACGATACAACAAATACTATCCTCTTCATCGAGAAAAGATAGATTATTATCTTAACTGACGGCACGGACACAATTCATTTTAATAACACTACAGTAGTGGAACAGCTATTTCATTCCATGTACATCCAACACCGCAGTCTACATGCTACCTATCTTGACTCAAGATGATTATGTTCTTGTATGTAATTCTTTTAGTTCAAAAAATGTATTCGTATATTGTAATTGTTCTTTAAAACTCGGAGAACTTATGTCACATGTTTAAAATTTGGGGAGCAAAATGCTTGAACAGAAAATGACGTATCTTTGGTAAGAGGCACCGTTGGGACAAAGTGTAACATTCCTTTACCAAATTTCGTGCATCACTGTATCCCTACAGTATCACTGACTGGCTCGGCTACATCATTTCCTCTGTGCCCAAGTACGTATCCAAGAGCCGCCCACGGATACCATTCAGTACAGTGCTACTTTGTCTACGCTGCAGGATCTTGCTGCATTCACTTTTTTTTCTAAATCGTCCTTTTACATTGCACTTTTAACTCTGCACGCAAGCACCATTTTCGCCTTTCCACGTTTCCAAGTGGTTGCCAAAGAACGGTTCCTCTCTCCTATTGGACAAACGCGCCGTCCGTCACTGACTGACAGTAGGAGGCGTCCCTCCCTATCCGCTCTGACGACCGGAAGTTCCCCCGTACGAACCCTTCCAATAGGATTCTCACTTTGTCGGTCATTTTCCGCCCGCCCTCTCCCTGTCCGCCTCCTCAATTCTTCTCTCGGCTTCTCTTGGTGACCGTCATATTGTCAGGAAGAGAGAAGACCACGGGTGAGGGAGAAGCAGTGGTCGAGACGTGGGAAAGGAATGCTTTTTCAAAAAAAGAATTACGATTACTTTTTATATTGAAGCCGCAGTATATGCGGTATGAGTTCATATCAGCTACAGTAATGAAAGAGACCGTCGTATGCTCTCGTATTTTAATCGGCACAGCGGATCGTCAGGGGAATATGTGCTTAGCTCCTTTTGATAGCCATTTTTTACAGACAAAAGAGAACAGTTAAAATTTGGGAGGAAAAAGAAGCAAAGAGGTACAGTACATGTATTTTCCGATTTTTTTTTTTGAGAATATGATGAAGGGGGTTTTAAAATGCGTTTTAGACTGGGGGTCTAGTCGGCTACCAGTTTAGCTTTGAGCTCGCGAGCGCGTTGACACGCAAACATGAGAGGAAATCGACAATTTAACGCTTTCACCTAACACGTTTTCCTCCCCGGGTTCCCCGATGAACGTTTTTAAACACTAAGTGAAAGGGCCGTATGCAGCTAAAATCAGCGTCTGGATTTTGTCCCACGATCCCGGGGAATGGGCCGCTTTTTCGCCGTTTGCGGCGGGTGATGTTGGCATCCCCTTAGGATACTAGCTCGGTAGAAAAGTGGTTTTTATCTAGGTGCGGTGCAGTCTTTTAAAGTGTTTCAGGCTTTCTTTTACAGAGGGTTCATACGTTTACTTTTCATCTAACATTATGCATAATATCTATGCATAAGAGTCGGTGAGTGAACCCTCAGGTGTTTAAGTACTAAAAAGTATATCTGTCATGTCATGCATCTCTTCATTATGTTATCTCTCAGTAATGAATTGGTTCAGTTTAGTGGTGGCAGCCCGGTCTGTGTAACTATGTTCACGATATACTACTCCTAAATTTGATTTTGAAAAAGATTTATTGTATAACATGCTAGCTCTAAATACTTATATATATTATAGTTACAAATGTATATTAAAGAGACTTCTGTTTGAGGCAAGCCTCAATAGACCGTCGCGTAAGATAATAGTTTAATCTATGTAATGAGGGATGCATCCTGTTAAGTAACATTTCACAGTTTGGAGATGTATGATCTCTCTGGCTTGTAGGTTTTCAGCCAGGTGTGAATAATGAATGTCCTTGCTTTAGGATACGCTGTTGACTTGGGAGACTTCAGAAGCTTTTTTTTTTCTCTTTTTGAAAAAAAGTCATCCTCAGAAGCAGTATCGGCATGGATGTTTGTTGTCTGACCTGACCTACCAGGCCGCTGGCAAACTTTAATGGCATATGCCACCTGTGTCTTAGAAGGAAATAGATCTGGCCGCTTTTTGCCAACCCCCCCATATCATATCAGTGTGAGACACTGCAAATGTCTCATTTAGTCTTGTCTGGGTTGCGAGACAGGGAACTTCCTCCTGTAATCTTGTCTGTTCTCCAACGTTGTCTGAGACTGTTAGAGTCCCCTGAGAGGGGGTGTGCGGCATTGTGGGAAGGAAGGATGATTGCTGTATCCAACCCAAGGGCTGAAATGTAGAACTTAATTGATGTCCACTCGTGCTGGTGCACCCACGGAGCCTTTTTCAATGGACATTGCCCATATTTACAGTATACTCTTGGGAGAGGGTGCTACCAAACCTGAATTGTTTTATGGAGAGCTATGTTAGCAAAGGACTCCAGCTGTCCACACTCCCAGCTTCAAACCAGCAGGCTGCTCTACTTTTGAGCAGCGGGCAAACGGGTTGGATCTGCTCTTACAAAACTATCCATTTGTCATCATAGTTGTGTATGGAGGCCTCTCATTGCTCGATCACATGGGTGAGGGTTTGTTAAGATGGGCTATGCTTTAAATTATTATTTTAAAAAAGCTGTGGATAAACAGTTGTGGTGTGGTGTAGTGTGTGTGTCACATTGCAAACGCCGGCCTCCGATTGTGGCTGCAACCCGCCGCTGTGGCCAGTGGGAGGGCTGGTTTCGGGCGAGTACGGTCTGTTCCAGTGCTGAGATGGAAAACCCAAAGATGATAATTGCCAAGGCTTGGGACTTGAATCTGAAACAGATTTCCTTTTTCTGTGTGCGTGTGCGTGCACGCGTGCATGTGCGTGCACGCAGACGGTCTATATTTAATCATAGTCATGCTTTTTCATTCTTTTAAGAGAAATTTGTTTCTAGAATGAGACTGGTTTTTTTCTGAAGTGGCCTGTTGTATTGCAGATGCTAAGTGGCATTAGTGTTCATTGTTCAAAAAGTTGTGCATGAGACTTTCGTTTCCTTTTCAGTTTGATCAGAAATGAGGCTTGTCAAATGAGAATAGAGCTTTGTGTTTGCAAATTGTCAAGAGGGGAGCAGAGAACCAGCACTGCGATCAACTGGTGCTGATTAACTTCTCCCTGGTACCGGATGCTGTTAGCTGTTTAGCATCTGCCATATCTGTGTTCCCTGTTGTTGGCCAGGGATGAATAAATCTCATTCTGCAAAAGTCTTTATTTCTGCCTTTAACTTGTAGTAGGATAATAACTTTTAAGCTAATTTGTGTTATTGGATAGTTTTAACCCTTGTTGCTGCTTGTGGTTGCATTTATGAATGGCTTAAATGGAGCAGAGGTGTTTTGAGATCGTGGCTTACGATGCCTTTGCATACGTAATGTGTGTGGTGAAGCTTTAGGCTGAGTCAGGAAGTTTATGATTGCGGGTGCTCTGTTAACACATGTATCATCCATTGAATCTCAGGGCAGTAAAGGGATAAGCTTGGTGAACAGAACACAGATTTAGCAGATACAGGTTGACTTCCATCCATTTATTTTCCATATCCACTTCGTCATAGGGGTCTGGAGCCTGTGCCAGAAGCTACAGGTGTGTGGCAGGGAATAGCCCAGGATGGGGAGCCAACCTACAGTTCGCCTTGTTCATTAGATTACAGTTCCCTAATGTTCTTTGCCCCTGAATTTCAGCCTCATTAGATAAAAAGTATCCCTGATGTCTGTTTCTTATAAAATTAAATAACAAAGTTCTGGAATCTTGTTGGCTTAAGGATGTTTATAATCTGTCAGAGGAGGAATTGACCTCCCACTAATGAAGCAAAATTGCTTTCACCATCCGCTGATTGCAGCACCTGCCGTTCAGCAGTAACTTTGCCATCGGCTCTTATCCCAGCGTTTTGTTTTCTGTAATTGGCTAGCTGGATCCGGAGCACAGTTAAGGTGTTGGATATGTGATATCTTTAGTGGACACCTGGTAGCATCTTACCCACACAGTTTTTGTTCAAAGAAATTTGTGTACTATGATTAGAAAGATAATTTTTGAAATTAAGTAGTGCTCTGGAATGTTTTGGCCATATTACCACATGCCCTGGAATGGCAGTTATGGTTTATCTCATTGAATGTAAAATTCACAGTGTGTTCCCCGCAGTGCCGTCTGTAGTGGTGCTGATGTTGCATGTGAGAGGTGTATTGTAATTGTTTCTTGGGATCATCTTTTCTTTTGGACTAGAGTTTGCAGATAAGTGCTGCGTAGTTGAAAATAAAATGTCTGACAGATGTGCAGTCTGGTGGAGAAAAAGTTGGAGGGGAACTGTTGTAGTCTATGATCTGTTGTAAAAATCGCTTTCTCATTGCGTCTGTAAAACAATGCAGCAGGCTGACACGAGGGACAGTGTATGATGTGGAGGTAGCCCTAGTGGTGCCTGGAGATTACCTCTAGTTTACCTGCTCTTTGAAAAATGGTCACCTAAGAGAGAATTTAACACAACTATCAGGACGTTTCCATTGACATAATCGTGTCCCTTATTCAATGTGACTGGAAGATGGGGGGGGAGTTCAGTTGTTAATTGAAGTAGTTTCTGGAGAAGCAAATCCCTTTAGTCCCACTGCTTTTTACATCCCCACATCACTTTGAATGATTCATCTGAGGTACCACCAAACAATTCCTCCCTAGCTCCTTCCTTTATAATTTATACACTAGTACCTTTACAGCCCTTCCTGTTTCCATGCCCACCTGCAAGGAATTTGGAAGGAACTAACGATCTGGAACACATAGGAACCCGAAGGCTGAAATTTAGCTTGTGTTCTGAAAGTGGCCTTGGGATCAGTGGTGACAATGACGACTTTAACCACCACCCGGATTTCCCGTAGAACTAGGGAGAACTATACAGGCATGGCATTTACTCTGTTCTATCCTTTAAATTAATGAGCATCGTCTGTGATGACAACTCTGCCTTTTTGTCAGGATCTTTCTTGTAGCTTATTGACCTCCAACAGGAAAACATGGTTGCTTTTTTACTGCATGTGGGTTACTAGAGAAAAGCCAGACTGCTGAGTTGTCTGCCCATGTGTGGGGAGTGGGTGAAACTGACATGTTATTGTATCATGTTTGTTCCTATTGAATATACTTTCAAGTGACGGCAGTTTGTCTGAGTCAGTTCTGTGCAATTCCTAAGCTGTGGGATTTCTACACGCCAATAGGTGTTTGTATGTGCATTAATAAAGAGATATAGTTGTAAATACATGTGCTGTCAGAATGGAAAAACTGAGTAAGCACCTGTGTGTTACTTGTAGAATAGTCAGAGAAAATGGGTGTAGAGTGAGTGATGTAGAGTACCATGTGAGAAATGAATGGAAATGAATTTTCATATAGAGAGATCAGTCGACAGTGGCTGCCATTCAAGACATTTGATGTGAGGAAACACTCCTGAACAGTGGGGGTCTCCCACTGATTACCGCAAACCACCATTCCTCTAATTCTGCTTGATCAAGAGGCAGAAACATCATGGATACCCATTTTGTAGTTGTATGCATTCATCCATAATTTTAACCTTTTCTGAGTGGCTTATGAATAAACACCCACTGAGTGGGCCTGGCACAATGAATAGTCACAAAAGGCCTCATGTCTCTTGAAAGCAAAGAGTAATAAAATCTCCTGGGGAAATTACTGTGAGTTAAGGTAAGAATCTGTCAAAACTTTAAATTATTGTAAGCAATTATTGTATATGTCCTGCCCAGTGGTAAAAGCTGGGTGTAATTCAGTCAGTGTTGATAATTACTTATGTCATCACCATTTTGCCAATAAGCAATTAACGTGTTTCATTGGCTTTTCAGTGAGCATTATAGGCACACGGCCCTGTGAAATACATTTATTTGGTCCCCAAAGAGTCTTATACTTACCAGGTGGGCCATCTAGTATCTTTAAAAAAAATCAATAGTGTCAAATGCTATATTGGACTTAATGCAGCCAGTATGCTTCAAATATCTACCAGCCACTCTCACCTGTACTGCCATGCCATTGGTTTGATATGCTAAT